TTTGCTTTTATATCAGTAGTTTGGTCCAAACAAAGAAATCTTCAGGATTTTTGTTTTTGTCATTGCTGTCTTGAATGTATTTTTTCACTCGGATTTTTTATTTTTGTAGCAAAGGTTTCGAGCGGTTTGGCAATCACCCCTATTCTTATGTATTAATATCCACAAATCGTCGTTTTTCGTCCGGCTCACTGCCCTGGTGTGAGCGTTCTTTATGATGGGTTATCTGATACCGTGGAATATCAATACAATGTCTGTGTTTTCCCTAACTCTGAAACTCTTCGAAGATGGTGGCTATACTCATCCTGGTTATCAGGTTCGTATCTGATTTTTTACTATGATTCAAAAGTTGCGCGAAATTTGCCCGCAAGCTGTAAATTCTACGCTAAACAATTATGCTAACTGCTTTGGCTCGCTGCCAGTGAAACTATAGATCCAAAAAATCATGAATCACTCTTTCGCTTTCACTCAGCCAAAAAAGTCAAGAAAAAATAATTCGTCACTGACGCGAATTATTTTTACATCCTTACTGCAACTGCCCTTCACGAGCCACCTAAAACACGAAACTCCAGAGATAGGATGAAGAAAATAATTAAAAATAAGGGAATTCATTAGGGTCGATCACAGACAAAATCGTCTCTGAGTTTTTGATGTTCAGGGAAGAATTATCAGGATGAACTATACGAATGGGCTCGCCAGGCTCGACGCTGGCCAATTGGAGCAGCTGAAGTGTTCCATTATTTTGATATTAAATTCACGTCTTTACCAGCTGCAGTTTCAATCATTTGGGCTCTCAGGTATTTTTCCTTCATACTGATAATGGCAGAATTCACAGTTTTGTTTCGCTGCATTGGAAAAGTAAGAAGATGGAAGAGACAAGCAACAAACAAAAATTATGGCCGTTTTCGGTGTGTGAAAGCAATGAAAATGATGTGCCGAGGGGGACTGTCAAAGAATCTTGTTTACTTTGTCTTGTTTATTCTAATATCTTTACTTAAGGTCAAATTTTTGACCCGGCGTATAGGCCACGAGTGAAAGAAGCTTGAAAATGTTAAAGGAAGACCTTTTTAAAAAGCTTATTTCGGAATTTTTCGTATTCTTTGCCTCAAATCTAAGCTTGAGCGTCACAGCTAGAGCACGGCAAAATCTGGGAAATTTTATATAATCTAGCTTGTATTTCTGAAACTTAAGCCTATAATCCCCATAGTTTGTAAATTGAACTATACGAATGGTCATTTACCGCATGGAAAAATCCTTTTTTGTTACAAACTGTTTTTGATTTGCGCAAGAAAGCGTGATAAATAGTGTGTGACTATCAGAAACAGAGCAATTTTATGATGAATCTCT